AGAAGAATGAGACATTATGCTCCATTTGTATACAATGTGTCAATATGCATTCTACTGTCATGTATAATTAATTAGAACAAAATAAATAAATAAATAAGTGTTCAATGATTACCTGATTATAGACTGACAGATGTTCTTTAAGTAACATCATTATAGTAGAAAAGCTTTCTTAAAAGTGTGGTTTATTCACTAAAAGGATGAACTGATTCTAGTGATGGAAATCCATTTGCTACAGAATGTGCTATAGAATGGAGGACTCATTTTAATAAGTGAGTTAATTAATATTATTTCAATTCACTCATTTTGAAACTGAATTTTACTCACAAAACTCCAGATATTTGGGCTGGGGATGTGGCTCAAGCTGTAGCGCGCTCGCCTGGCATGCGTGTGGCCCGGGTTCAATTCTCAGCACCACATACAAACAAAGATGTTGTATCCGCCGAAAACCGAAAAATAAATATTAAAAAAAAACCTCTCTCTTTCTCTCTCTCCCTCTCTCTCAAAAAAAAAAAAAACCTCCAGATATTAGCAATATCCCTGAAACAAATGAAAGACCATCCTATTCATTCCAATCGAATGAAAATTAATTAAAACATGAACCATAGCAACAATTTGAACCACAAAATAAATAATGTTAGTCATTTGGGTTATTGCCCTTAAAATATAACAACAACCCATTAAATAATTGAATAAATGGAGAAGAAAAAAATTGACCTTACATGGAAATAGGAAGGAATAGTAGAATGAATCAGACATAAATTTCCCATGTTCATATATGAATACATGACCAGAGTAACTCCACATCATGTACAAACAGAAGAATGAGAAGTTATACTCCACGTATGTATAATATGTCAAGATACACTCTATTGTCATGTATATCTAAAAATAATAAATAAAAAAATAATTTGGCCTTACAGAAGAATTCCAACTAATAAATGTAAATTAAATGAGGGAAATAGAAAGTCACCATTAGGCAAATGACATAGTCATTAATATCATGATCAAAATCCACCAGAAGATATAAACTCAGAGGGTGAAAGTTTGAGGGGAAAGAGTATAGTCTCAAATCATCTAACCCCAAGATAACTGATAATTACAAAAGGAAAAATAATAACTCTACCATAGAAACCTAGCAGAAGAGACCTGACACCATATTAACCAAATGATCACAGTCAATAAACAGCAAAAGTGCAACATCACTGCCATGGTATGGCTTCCAAAAAAATGCATAATCTCAATCTAATCCTCAAAAGATATCAGATAAAACCAAATTGAAGTATATTCCACAAAATAACTGATGAGTACTCTTCAAAATGTCCAGATTATAAAAGATAAAGTAAGAAAAATTTCAAATTGGAGGAAGCTAAGGAACAGGACAACTTAGTGTTGTAAGGGATCTTGGCTTAGATCCTGGACCAGAAAAAGGACATTAATAGGAAAATTTATGAAATTAGGTAAGACATAATTTAGATCAAGGATTGACTGACAGTAGCTCTTAAGCTAAATCTGCCTGCTAGGTTTTTGTTTTGTTTTGTTTGTTTTTGTTTTTGTTTTCTTTGTACCAGGGATTGAATCTGGTGGTACTTAACCAGTGAGCCACATCCCCAGCCCTATTTTTGTATTTTATGTAGAGACAGGGTCTCACTGAGTTGCTTATTGCCTCACTAAGTTGCTGAGACTGGCTTTGAACTCTCGATCCTCCTGCCTCGGCCTCCCCAGCCCCTGGGATTACAGGTGTATGCCACCATGCCCAGTTAGAGATACATATCTAAATGCAGATTCCCAGGCTCTCACCCAGACCTAATAAGAAATCTGAAAAAAAAAATAAGACATTTTTAAAATAACGCAGCCCCTAGAATAAGATAAATTTACAAAGCTCCAAGTTCACAGTATCCCTATGAGTTCAAAACAATGGCCACAACCACAACTACAACAACCTACTACTCTGTATCAGGCACTGTTCCAAGTACTTTGTATAAATCATATCTCAATCTCCACAACTCTATAAAGTGGGTACTATTCATGCCCATTTTCAAATTAGGAAACTGAGGCATAGAAAAGTAAGTTTCTCCAGGTCACACAGTTATAAGTGGGAGAGGTCAAAATTCAAACCCAGGAAGTATGAACTCAATAAGAAAAGCAAATAGATGTTTCAATTTATCAGGTTTGTACTCAATTTTCAAGTCCATGAAATCTTGGAGTCATTAAGCCTTTTTAGTATTACTGCCCAAATAGTGACCAAACATATAAGAACAAGTAAGAACTAAATAAGATCCTATCAGGAAAGATACTTTGTACCTAGGGTGGTACAAAGTATGTATGTATCAATACTTCAGAGGGCTTTGTACCATGTATCTTTCCTGTCAAATCCCACATACGGAGAAAAGGCTGGCTGATCTGAGATCAGACTTCAGAATATTATTTTAACATTGGAAAGATGTTGTTTTCAACACAACAGCATGGAAATTCTCCCTGATTTATATATAATCATACATAAGGTAAAGTAGGAAATTAGTCTCATTGCTTATTATCAAGATTATATTTTTAATTTGTAAAGGATGATTTTTAAAAGTATCCAAGGGAGGGCTGGGGTTGTGGCTCAGTAGCAGAGTGCTTGCCTCACACATGTGAGGCATTGGGTTAAAAGTTTCACAATTACTGTTCTAGAACCATTGGAAAATAGGCAAACTTACTTTGGATATAATTAATTTTCAACACAAGTTTTAAATAGTAAGAACTATAAATCAAATCAAAACATTATTTGGACCATTATGGTGGCACACACTTGTAATCCCAGTGGCTCCAGAGGCTGAGACAGGAGGATAGTGAGTTCAAAGCCAGCCTCAGCAATTTAGTTCAGGTGCTAAGCAACTCAGTGAGACCCTGTCTCTAAATAAAATACAAAATAGGGCTGGAGATGTGGCTCAGTGGTCAAATGCCCCTGAGTTCAATCCCCAATGCAAAAAAAAAAAAAAACATTATGTGGTGGGGGGACTGGGGATATAGCTCAGTTGGTAGAATGCTTGTCTTGTATGCACAAAGCCCTGGGTTGAATCCTCAGCACAACACAACAAACCAAAAAGAAAAAAAAAATATGTGGGTATATCAATTTAATTATTAAAAGTAAAATCAAAATATCAATTTTCTTTGAAATCATTTTAGTTATGAAGTTTCTGGTTAATTTTAGAGCATTAAATCAAGTAATATTTTAAGTGAAGGAAATTCATGCAATACAAATCAAGTTAAGGAAATGTCACATTAAATTAAAAATGGCATAAAACTTTTTAATGGGAAGGGAGAAGCTACCAGAAAGCTGAGAAAGGAGGATTAAAAGTTCAAAGCTATCCTGGGCAACTTAGCAAACCCTGTCTCAAAATAAAAAATAAAAATGGCTGGGCAATTTGGTGGTAAAGTGACTCTAGGTTCAATTCCAGGACTCACCCACCCACCCACCCCCCAAAAAAGTGGAGTATAGAAGAAATTATGCATACAAAAAGAAGTAAGGAAATTGTAACAGGTCATGTCATTAAAAGTAAATGAGCCAGGTATGGTGGTGCACCCCTGAAATCCTAGCTACTCAAGAGGCTAAGGCAGGATGCAAGTTTGAGGCCAGCCTGGGCAATTTAACAAGGCCTATTTCAAAATAAAATTAAAAAAAAAAAAAACAGGGCTAGAATGTAGCTAAGTGACAGGGTGTTTGCATAAGACATGATACAAAAAAAAAAAAAAAGTTACCTAGAAATGCTATACCACTGACAGATCAGTAAAATACATCCAGAAAAAGAGATAATGCTTTTATTTTCCTTTTAATACATGCCGTGGTACACAGAAAGAAGTATGACTTTAACTGGAAATCATGAAATAAAACTGTTATAAATTCTATAAATAAATCATGGAATCATTTCTTGTAAATCTAAAACTAATACTCCTCAGAAAAGACAATAGCCTAGCTACCAAAGATTGACTGGCCATATCAAGAGATTCATTGTGAGACTATAATGACTTTGACTTTATAATCTGTCACATATTTTTAAAAATCCAAATTATAAAACTTCTCAAGTTAAATTATGTTACTTTAATTTTTAAAAATTCCTTCAAAATTTATTTTCTAACAGTATGATCCAAACTGGATGAAAAACATGATAAAATTAGTAATAAACTTTATAAATTGCAATAAGCAAATTGCCACCAACATAAACAAGAATAGCATATTACTCAAGAAAAATATGTAACTAAAAGAGCATTATAATTTGTTTTCGTCCTGTGTTTTCTAATTTCACATTACCTAAGATAACTTCCTCACTGTGGCAAGAAAAGAGATTTTAGTTCTTTATGTCTAATATTGCACTTTATTCTCAAAACTCTTGCTTTTATGAAACAAGAATAAATATCAAAATATTTGCTTTTATATTTAAATTTAAAATATTTTGCTTTAATAAAGAAGTGCTGGAACACTCCTTAACATGCTTTAACAATCATGGAGTTTTTGATGCATGTTTCATGCATACATGTTTTGTTTCAGAAACCACACTTTCCAAAAGTAATTGTTTCACACAATTTGAGACAATGATTCCTGATTTATAATTTAAATGAGCATAAAAATACACGCTTTTTAAAAATAACTGATTAACCAGAAAATTACATTTCATTTCAATTATAACATGAAATACTACAATAAAGGTATAGCTAAGTGTATACTCTAAAACATCAGCAATTACATCAAATTTTAATATGTATTTTTAGCACATTGTAAAATAGAATGTATGACCATTAGCCAGAGAATATACAAACAGAATTTGATCAGAGGTTTCCATATAATTGCCATGAAATACTATACAAGACCCAACATACAGTTAAATCCTTAACATTCTTTAAGTTAAAGTGCTTTAAGGTGATACATGATTAGGATTTCAGACAATGTGGCTAAAAGTTCAAAGTTAACATCTTAAATAAAAACTTGAAATACTGTGAGAAACAGCAGCATTATTCAGTCTTACCGAAGAGAGTTCATCACATCCCAGTAACGTGTAGTAATCTTCACTATCATCCAATTTGTAATTCAGTATTGCATCCATTTAGATCAGTAAATCAGCTTCTCTCAGAAACAAGAGACACGATGAGCTTCAAATTAATAAGAAAACCCTCTTTAAATCTGAATGACGAAGGCACGTTCCAAACAGCAAAAGCTAGCTTTAAGACTGATCACAGTCAATACACCAGATGTCAGTCTAGACCTTTGTAAACACTACCTCTCATTGGCCATTTGCTGAGGAAAAAAGAATAGACCACAGGCTTGGCGCTGCAGTGCTGCCTGGGATCTGTAGTTTCTGAAGTGGTGAGATCAACTATTCATCTTTTGTCTTAGTAAAGCCTTTTTCGAATTCCACAAATTGGTCATCTTGTCTTTTTCTATATATTTTTATCTTTTCTTCTTCTTTTTTTAAGAAACAGAAGAAAATTTGAAACAATGTAGCAAAATTTTAGGATTTATTAGCTGTGAAATGAGTATTTTGAATATTTAGAACATTTTGTAATGGGGTTGGGGGGTGGCGGCTAGAGAGTGTATAACACTTACCCAGTATGCTCCATGTCCTGGATTCAATCCCCAGAACAAAAACAAACAAACAAAAAAGGTAATTTTTACAATAGTCTTAGAGTAGAAGAAAATAAAAACTAGGGTAGCAAGCTCTCATTTGTTTAATAATACTCATTCAATAAATATTTATTGAGGACCTATTTTATGCTCACACAAATTCTTGATTTCTGTAGAATTTTTTTTTTGGGGGGGAAGGGCTGCTGGGGGTGGGACTCATGACCTGTGAATGCTAGGTAAGGGCTTTTCCACTGAGATACATCCCCAGCCTCTAGAGGTTTCCTTCTGATAGAGAAAGAGAAATGATAAACTAAGCAGAAACAGGGTTATTTAAAATAGTGTTTTGTTCTACACAGGAAATAGGACAGTAAGAAGGAAAATTATATGATAACCTGAGTCAGATTATTGCACCATTTGTCCTGGCTGGCTTTCTCCAGGCTTGGGCGTATAGAGTGGATCTAGCAAACTTGTATTTCAATTCATTTTGTCCATTGGAAAGGCAGCCTCACCCTGGGATTCGGAGGTGAGTAGTCAGGCATAGATCCACTGTACAGGCTTATCCTTACTTAGTTGCTAAGGCTGGCCTTGAATTTACAATCCTCCTGCCTCAGCCTCCCCAGTAGTTAGGATTATAGGTATGTGCCACTGCACCCAGCTTGCCTTAACGCTTCAAATCACCCCATAAGTTATAACTTTAGAATAAAAAATACTGTTTCATCTAGCCCACCTATACAAATCTTATTTAAGGTTTATTTCTGAAGAGAAGCAGGAATAAGAACTGAAAGCGCCATTGTTACTAATCTTTCATTATCTATGCTCTCTTCCCAAAAGTTCCGTTTGAGATTTTAAAACAAACTGCAATTCTTCTTGTTTTGGAAATTTTCCCACATCCCTTGAGGTATCTGGATTTCTATTTGGGTATCACAAAATCTTAATCAGAATCACTGATGGCTGTCCTTTACATGATGTGAAATTGCTGCTTTGAAAAACAACATGGTGGTCTCCCCAAAATTAAACATAGAACTACCACATGCTCCAGCCATTTCATTTCTGAGTATATACACACAACTCACGGCATTATTCATAATAGGGTTAGTGATAAAGTATTTCTCTAGTATGAGTGAGGCCCTGGATTTGATCCCTAGCAGTCCCCCACGCCCCTACCCCCCACCCCCTGCACACCACCAAAAAAGATGATGTGAAATACCTCAAAGACAAAACTCTGACCAGAAAGGAAAGAAATAAGTGTTGTTCTTTTTTGTTTTGTTTTGTTTTTTATTTTATTTTATTTTATTTTGTACTGGGGATAAAACAAAGGGTACTCTACCACTGTGCTACATCCCAGTCCTTTTTATGTTGAGAAAGGTTTGGGTGAAGTTGCAGAAACTGGCCTAGAACTTGTGATCCTCCTGCTTCCTCCTCCAAGTTGCTGAGATTACAGGCCTGCCATGAAACAGTCTGTGCCTGGCCAAAGTGTTGTTCTTGAGAATAGTCAGGACAATGCTTTAATGTTGTTCTGAAGAACAGGAACAATAAAAGATATTTATGAAAGGAATTTTGGTAAAGCAGATGTTATTAACTCATGGACTATTTTTCCTAGACCATCATGTTCTCATTCTGAATACTGAAGTTAGTAGATTTACAGACGTGCTCAACAACTGCAGAAGAAATTTGTACATTCTTTCTGAAATGGAAATTGGTATGTCATAAATTAAAGAGTTTTAGGTAGTGCATGTCTATAATCCAAGCAACTCAGGAGGATGAAGCAGGAAGATTGTAAATTTCAGGCCAGTCTGGACAATTTAGTCTCAAAATAAATATAATGGTCTGGGATGTAGTTCAGTGGTTAAGTACCCCTGGGTTCAATTCCCAGTCACAAAAAAAAAAAAAAGTTAAAAGAGCTTTACATGACCTTTGTTAAGCAATTCCATACCCAGGAATTTATTCAAAGATTATAATCAAGAAAATGTGCAGATATAGCAATAATGATGGTTATCTTAACCAAGATACAGTTACCACAGTAAAAGTTTTTGAGAAAAAAAAAATGAAATGTCCAGCAATCATATAAATAACGTCACATATAGTAACATACTATGAAGTCATTTCGCGGTGGGGGGAAGGGTACCACGGATTGAACTCAGGGGCACTCAACCACTGAGCCACATCCCCAGCCCTATTTTGTATTTTATTTAGACACAGGGTCTGAGTAGCTTAGTGCCTTGAAGTTGCTGAGGCTGGCTTGGAACTCGCGATCCTCTTGCCTCAGCCTCCCCAGCCACTGTGCCCAGCACTATGAAATAATTTTAACCATTGTAGAAACAATACAATTTCTAGAAAATGTTCACACTCTGTTTTTAAGAGAGAAAAAAAATCGCAAAACAGTCTGTACTATGTAAAGTTCACTGAGCACTGAGACTTATTTACCTTATTAAGTATAAATTATACCTTGATTAAAAGTATAAAAAAGAAACAAACTATGTTTATTTTCATTTTTTGTTGATGGGAATTGAACCCTGGGCCTTCCCTGTGCTAAGCACACACTCTTTCATGGATCTACACGCTCAGCCTCTTTTAAATTTAAATTTAAGCCAAATACACTGGTGTACATCTGTAATCCCAGTGAATCAGCAGGCTGAAGCAGGAGGACCACAAGTTGCAGGCCAGTCTTAGCAACTTAGCAAGACCATAACAACTCAGAGACCCTGTTTCTAAATAAAATATAAAAAAATGGCTGGGGATGTGGCTCAGTGATTAAGTGCCCCTGTGTTCAATCCTTAGTAACACAAATAAATAAGTAAACTTTAAAAATACATATAGTATGGTTCCTATATGTATTTTGTGTATACATTGTGTGCATATTTATAAAATATGAGAAATTGTATACTCCAAAATATGACGTGTTATTACTAGAGGTTATAACTCACTCTGGGGTCATCGAAGATTTACAATTTATTCTTTTTATTCATCTACATTTATTTTTTATTAGTTGCTCATGAGAATACAATGATCTTGACATATCATACATTTGAATCAACTGGGGTATAAGAAACAGTAAGAAGCAATCAGTAAAAGCTACAAATTGCCAAAGGTCACATAGCAACTTACTTACTTAGTAGAGATGACCATTCAGAGAGCCTGTTTCAAGGACTTCTTTGGTCTGCTTTGATTTTATAGCGCATTTTGCGTTGGCTGCGTCGTTGTCCAATTAACTTTTACACCCTTTGAGGCTCACAGTACACTGCGCAGTTGACAAAGAAGAATGAAATGGGGGCTGTTGGTTAACTCAGTGGTAGAGGACTTACCTGGCATAAGTTGGATACTCGGCACCACCAAGAAAAGAATTAAAAATTTTTAAATAAACCCTCCCCTTATTGCCTGGAATTATATAGAGCGATGAAACAACCCTGAACTCTACTCCATATTCCTTGAATAGGGTTTATCTTAAACACCAGACCTCTTATTTCATTAAATTAATTGAGAGCACAAGATTGATCCTGATGAAACTTTAGCTCATCACATAAGGAAACGCCAAATCATGCAGCTTTGAGTGAAAGTTTAGTTGTAGTTCATAAAAACATGCACAAAGTACATGGAAAAAAACGACGAGGGGGTAGGAAGCATCGACCGTCCTAGGACTACAACTCCCACAAGGCACAGCGGGAACGGCGCCGAAGGAGCGACGGGGGAACGTGCCATTGCTTAGGTCTCCCGGGCGCCACCCCTCGGCAAGTTCTGTATTTACTTGAAATTCGTAATCTGGAGATGGTAAGAGAAAGATACCTGAAACATCTCAAACGAAAGAGAGAAAGGCTGGGAGCTAAGAGGCTGCAAGGCCCAGAATCTCTGAGCGAGGACCGAATATTAGCCAACCCCTAGGGGGCCTTGCGCCGCCCCCAGAGTCCGTTCACCCTGACAGCGCCCTCTGCGGGCCCCGTGTTTCTCTCCAGCCTGGGTCTCTGTAGTGCAGAATGGCACTGGCGCCTTCCCTTTGCCGTTCTGACACATTCTAGTTTCCAAGGCGCAAACCCAAATTCCAGAGACGGTACCTGCAACCATTCGCCCTGGTTTCCCACAACACAGCGCCCCCACCCCCTCACAGCCTGGAATACTGGAGACCCCTGGGCGCTCGGTACCAGGGCTGGATGCGACTTAGCGCCCAGCCCTCAGCCTGCTCTTCAGAGTCTACTGCTCCATTCGAGCTCAAGGTCCATTGGAAAGAAAACAGCCTTTCCAGGACCTTACATGCCCTAGGCTTCTGTCCCTCCATTTTGTAAAACAGGGAATAAGATCCTCGCTGTCTTACGAAGCAAAAAAAGCGTCCTGATCCAAGAATAGAATGTGTTGAAAAGTTCTGTTAAGTCAAACATAAAAAAGGATTTATAAGTGGTCTTCAAAGATTGTTGGACTATTTGGAAGTTGTAATCAGGTGTGATGACAAATGCTATTAATCCCATTGTTAAGACTAATAATAGTGCACAGGATGTTAATAATAGGGTTTTTTGTGGAGTTGGGGAGACGGGGTGTCTGGGAACTTTGTGCTTTCCACTCCATTATGCTGTGAACCTAAACTGCTCTAAAAAATAAGAGGGTTTTTTTTTTTGGGGGGGGGGGGTTTCTAACCCTCAGGCATGCTAGGCACCGTTCTGTACCACTGAGCTACACCCCCAGCCCCAGTTGTATTCATTTTTAAACAGTAACAATAGGAAGTATAATAATCACCTGTCAAAAGACAAAGTTACAACAAATTTAGCTTAATGGTCTTAATTGACTTATCCGCAATTCTAGAATCAAGCAACAACTCAGTTCAGATGAGCTGAGCAGGATGGCTTTATGGGCAGAAAAAGGCTGAGAAAAGCAGAAAGTGAACAAAAAGCTCATTGGTGGTTTCGAAGTTGCTTTCTTTGTAAAGGTTAAAGCAGAGGGAACTTATTTCCTAATTATGCTAGCTAACCCGGGTCTATTTGGAGATTTGGCTATGTTCTGTCCCTGTCTCCTGGCTTTCTCTCCCCTGATGTCTTGGAAGGTGATAGAATGGAGATCCACCTCACACTTTGCGTATAAACCTTGCTGCCTGTCCACCGGTTGCTTATTTTGAAACTGGCAATTCCGCCCTTTTCTTCCTTTCCCTCTCCCCCTTCCTAAAAGCAAGGGAAACAAGACTAGCATTTTTGCCCCGTCCCAGGCTAAACTAAGGCATGCTCCACTGCCTGAAGGAATATCACTGCCCACAAGAATAAAGAAACTCCAAACCTGGGAACTGGAGCAATGACTCTCTCCAGGATACCCCCTGGAAACTTATCAATTATATCTACTGATAATATTCATATCCCAGCTCTTATATTCTTTTTTTTATTTGGTTTTGGTTTTGTTTTGGTACCAGGAATTGAACCCAGGGAAGCTTTACCCCTGAGCTACATCCCCAAACCTTTTTTTTTTTTTAGTTGTAGATGACACAATACCTTTATTTTATTTTATTTTATTTAGTGTAGTGCCGGGGATCAAACCCAGTGCCTCACACGTGCTAGGCAAGCACTTTACCACTGAGCCACAACCCAGCCCTCCCCAGACCTTTTTATTCTTTTCTTTGAGACAGTCTCACTAACATTGCTGACACTAACCTCAAACTTGGCAATCCTCCTGCTTCAGCCTCCCAAGTCATGTTCCTCTTTTTAAAGCCCGGTGTTCCCCCTGGCAGGAAAAATTACAGCCTCTGGGGTAGGAATCCCCTGTGTTTCTCCTTTGTTAGCAAATCGGTGAAACTTTTTTTCTTTTTATCGAAACAGAAACAAGCACTGAGTTTCCAGAATCAATCAGATAAAAAGACTTAGTTTTAGCTTGGTGATCTTGAAGTTCAGCATGAGTAATCCCATTTTGGTTTCATCTGTTAAGCCTTGAGCAGAAAATCAGACCAAATTAATGGCCTCCTATAAATTTTAAAACACTCCAATTATATGCCAGTGGTAAAGACAGAGTTTAAACCCTGCCATGTGTGACTTCAAAGTCCGTGGTGAAGAAAGTATATAAAACACTATAGCACCCTATGTGCATATGTGTAACTCTACATCATGGACTACCTGACAAATGAGAAGTTATATTCCATTTATGTATGATGTGTCACAAAGCTGTCATGTATAACTAATTGGAACAAATTTTAAAAAATTTTAAAAAAAAAAAAACACTACATTGTATTATCTGGCAAATTTTGGCATGGTACAAAATGCACTAGAAAAGGTGTCTGGAGACCTGATTTCCAGTATCAGATCTCCACTGACTCCTTGCTGCGCCATGTCTTCTTGATTTGTGAAGGATATTGGGTCAAAAGAGTAATTCTCAAACTTTAAAGTGCCCCTAAATCACCTAGAGATCTGGTTAAGATGCAGCTTTTAGCTGGGAATGTAGCTCAGTGGTAGAGTGCTTGCATAGTGTGTTCAAGGCCCTGGTTTGATCCCCAGCACTTAAGAAAAAAGATGCAAATTTTGCTTCACGATGTCTGGGTAATGTCTGTGATTTCTAACAAGCACCCAAGTGAAGTTCATGCTTATCTAGGGACCACACTTGGAATAGCAAGGGGCAGAGTGAGTGACGTCTGAGATCTTTTCAGCCTCTAACACAGGTGCAATCATTATTTACTTCTAACCTTAGTACCTTTACTCTCAGATATTAAAAGATTTGTCAAAAAAGAGATGAGGGGGCCTGGGATTGTGGCTCAGTGGTAGAGCACTTGTCTCCCATGTGTGAAACCCTGGGTTCAATCCTCAGTACCAAATGAAATAAATAAATAAAGGTATTGTGTCCATCTACAACTAAAAACTATTTTTTTTTAAAAAAGGTGAGGGACTAAAGATTCCTATTTGAAGCCAAAAAATTTAAACTATTATTATGATAACTATTATTATGATAATAATATCTCTGGAAGGGCTGGGAGTGTAACTTCATGGTAAAGTGCTTATCTAGTATGCATATAGCCCGGGGTTTGATCCCCAGCACTGCCCAAAATAAATAATAAAAATAATAATATCTCTGGAAGAATATACAAGAAGCCCGTAAGAGTAGTTATTTTTATGGGGGTGGGGACTAGATGGGCTGAGTACAGAAATTGGAGATAAACTATACTGGATGCTTTTTTATTCTTTATGAATTTTTACTATGTGTTTCCAATTTTAAAAAATTTGTTTTTGGGGAGATAGAGGGAAATCAAGCCCATGGCATCCTAAACATGCATTTTACTACCACCACCCCCTTAATTTGTTATTGTATATAGAAAAGTGGTTAATACACCATCTGTTAGTAAAGGAACAATTCACAAAATTATTACTTTGGGTCTTCTATTTAACAGATTTATTTAAAAGAGTTAGAATGAAATTCTTTGAGAATATCTAGGAAACAATCACTTAAATATCCCCCTATTTTTTTTTCTTCTCAACTAGAATTGTGGTGGAGTATATTAGTAGTCAGGTAGTAACCAGATAATGAAGATAGATAGTTACAGGTAAATAATTACTTAAAGGCATGAGCCTGGATACGATTACTCACGAGATAACAGTTAAGATCTGTGATTCCCTGATCCTATGAGTCCTGATTCCAAGAACCTAGACCAATGGTCCTCTGACTGTACTTTACAATCACTTAGTACTTTGCATGATTAAAATAAGGACATGGTTTTATGAACCATATAGTGTATTCCCATACAAATAGATGGGTTTTTTCACAATGCTTAAAGAGGGAAAATAAGAACAAATGTCACAAGGAATACACTCAATAGATGAGGTAAATTAACGTAGAATGATAAGTTTCAATTTCACCCAATTATTAAAGTCTAGTTGCTCAAGTAGAATGGAAGTAGTTCTCTGTGGATTTAAAATTTAATCAAAGTTTGAGGCTTACCGTCCTACAAGAGGGTCTCAAGAGAAATGAATTGACCAGTGCAGCAGAGACCTACAAGGTCCCTTCATTCTAGAAAGGACGCTAGTATTGCAGAGCAAGGCATCAGAATGGCCTCGAAGGCTGATAGAAAGTAACCTTGCCACAGCCTAAGTTTTCAGTGTCTGTCAAAATCCTCGGTTTATATGTATTCTAAAGTCTAATAGTTGAGACCAATCACTCACATATGTGGAGTGGCAAAACATCCTCATGGGGAGGGAAAGTAAATTCCATATTGTTCTTATCCCAG